TCCGCGTTCCTCACCGGTGCGCTTGTAGAGTTCCTCTTCTTGAAATATCTGGCGGGTTTTGAGCTGATATGCGTCAAAATACTCGAAAAACGCACCCGAGCTCGCGAACGCCTCCTCATCCATACGTGGGGCTCGCGCGACAAGGGGAGAAAGATGAGGGGACGTGGACCTCGGGGGATTTAGCTTCAGTGGTCTCGGCGTCGGGCTCGGGATGCCGACGCGACGCTCGCCATGCTGCTTGTCCTGCTTTTCGCGCCTCTTTTGAAATGAAAGGCCCAGAATAAGTTGGGAGGGGTGAAAGGGGGGAGGGGGTGTTTTTCTACTTTTGATGCTGACTGATTTGTCGGGATTTTATCCGTCAGGAATTTTTTTTCTTACCGACAATTATTGTGTGACTTTATCCACTTCCTAGCTCTTTTAACTCTTTAACATGCTTGATTATTCCAAATCAGAGGTCACTTCAACTAGCCCAATATGTGACAATTACTGTGTGTGTCTGCCTCTACTCGAAGGCGTAGTTGGGGTGCACTGTTAAATACCTCTGCTGGTTCTTAACGTCTTTCTCTTCAGGGGTCAATTTCTGGGTGTTTTCCTTCCCGTCCTTGTCCATCGTCTCACCTTCTTCGTCCTCCATCTCCAACTTGCTAAACGTAGGTCACGTGACCAATTTAACTAGGTCACGCAGTAATAGCAGCAATCGTCATTCATGGCAGTTTTGAAACCATTCCGACTCTCCCGAAGAGGCACACCCGGACTCAAAGGCAGGCCGCCCCCACTCTCGCAAAAGACAGCGACTATAACAACATCTCGATGACTCGCCGCAGACCGCCCAGAGGTGCAAACTCACCTTCACCTCTCAATACGTCACTTGTCGAATCATCGCGTCGTCGTGGGAGGACAAGGTTCTCGCCGACTTCTCGTCCATCACGGCCTTATCGGGGTACCTCCACATCTGACGTAGCAGTAACAGATACATCCATGCACAGCAGTGACGTAGCCTCTACTCTGCCAGCAACGTCCATAAGAGGAGAAGCACAAGAATCGCCGTCGCCATCGCTTACTATAGAGTCGATGTCGACTCAGCCTCCGACGTCATCATCAGCAAATCCGACTAGTTCGCAGCATACTCAATCTCCACGTAGCCTCAGCCCCACTACTACTGAGCTCCCACAGTCAACAGCAAGCTCAGTACGCTCGCAGGTAGTATCCAAGCCACGCGACGGACGTACCAAGGTGTATTACCAGGGCTATGCCTTCACGCGCGCAAATGCAACTGTTGTCAAGATAACCTACCGTTGTAGCTCATACCGTATAAAATTGTCGGGCCCAGCTTGCTTACTATGCAGACTCAGCGTCGTTTGACTTCGGGAATATGGAGCCACATACCTGTCGAGCTATTCTCGGTCTTGTTGGATCCGAGACAGGATCCGGTGATCACTGCATCGACGTTTCAGAGGCTGTAATGGATGAAGTCGACAAACTGGCCGCCGAAACGACTATGACACAAAAGGAAATTTGGACAGGTATTGTACAAAAGTTTTACATGCTAGATGGACCCCCTGTTCGTGGAGTGTCAAAACAAGTCGTTGAAAATCGCGTTCAAAATGCACGTAGAACACGTGCCGGTGGTCCTACCAGCTTAATAGAGAAACCACCCCTGTCGAAGGTGAAAGGTAGCCATCAGGGTTTCTTTCAGTTCCAGTATTCATGGCATGATGCCATCAAGGCGCAGAAAGACCCTGTCGGTATCGACAGAATAATTGGGTGGGGTCATCCCGCGCTGTTAAGTTTGCTGTGCTTCGAGAATTTGTCGTGGTACATCGACGGCACTTTCCGCTGTGCTCCTAACCACTACAAGCAATGCGTCACGATTATGGTCTATGACCAATCGAGTAAGCTCTACGTTCCTGTCGTGCATGTGCTCACTACGTCCATGACAAAAAAATCGTACCTGAAACTGCTACAGTGCGTTCAAGATTCTGTTGGTAGTAAACTCGTTCCGAAGGACGTTGTATGCGACTTTGAGGGCGCTCTCATCGGAGCAATGTGTGCGTTCTTCCCTGATATCCGCATAATTGGCTGTTTATTTCACTTTAAACAGGCCTGCAGCCGCAAGCTAAAGCGATATGGGATACCAAAGCTCGAGGCGAAGGTGGCTATGTCTCCAAGCGTGTTCGACGTACTGACCGTCATTGACCCCAGCAAAATTGCAGTGCAAGGAATCGCGTGGGTAAAGGCTAAAATACGAAAAACTTGTGAGACCAAGCAGTTAGTCTACTCTCGACAAAAATGGAGAATTTTTTGGGCATATTTCCAGCGTACCTGGATGGATACATTTCCCCCAACTTTCTGGAACGTATACGGAATCAATCGGGATATTGTAAGTCGAACCAACAATCCATTAGAGCGGTTCCATCGTGAGCTTAACAAGAGATTCAGGCCTCATCCGTCAATGAAGCAATTTGCCACTACTCTGGAGATTCTAGCTCGTGAGTACGTTCTGCAACGTAATGCAATCATATCAGGAATTGCTGTTCCACCAGTACGAGTTCGATTTGTGTTGCCAAGAGCCCCTAGATTACCCAGTGTGGCTGCCATTGAGGACTCTGCTTCGAGCAGCGATAGTGAAGGTCGAGTAGACGACGTCGATGTGAATTCGGATCCTTACAGCACTGACGTGTCTTCTACAAGCGAAGAAAATGCTGTCTTGGAAGAGGCGGATGCGGACTATGAGCAAGATAACTCGTTCGAGTACGAGGGTGTAGTCTAATGGGTACGCAGTATGATAAATAGAACACGAGAAAAATACTTACATGAAAAGGCACTGACTTGAATATCACTGATAACACTACATATATGTACCGGAGCTTAAGAATCCTCATGCGCATTTCGTCATTTACGGCCCCCAGCAACAGTTATTTGAAGTTGTTGAGCTCAGCTGGGAGATACATGAACGCATATGTATCTATATCCAAAAAGAATCGCTGTAGAATCCGTCTGTCACCGTCATTCGAACACCAGGCCGACAGCACGCTGTTGGAGCATTTCCTCAGTGTATTCCTGGTTGCCTCAAAGATGACTACAATGATCAGCACCAGTAGTTTAGGTCCACAAGTAGTGCCACGGTTAACCTGAGCGATTTTATATGCAGTTAGGAAAAACTTTCAAGAGAGAGAAAGGAGAAACACAGACCTGTAGAACGTAAACCAAGAAGAGGGGGAGGGTGCGCGAACGCGATTAACGGGTTGATAGTCCTGGGATAGGAGCAAGGCTGCGTGATCGCGAACGCTGCACCGAGCGGACTGATCGGTGGTG